ATAAATAAAAATCATAAAAAAAAAAAAAAATCCCGCTTAGAACTCATAGCCACTTATATTCTAGACCACTGGTTCTCAACCTTGGCTGCACATTAGAATCACTTGGAGGCTTTTAAAAAAAAAAAAAAAAACACTTTCTATTGAAGCAGAACATACAAATGGCACACGGAAGTGTACAGTTCAGCTCAGTGAAATTGCGCAAAGTGAACCAACCCACAGAGCCAGCATCCACAAGGAGCAGCAGGACATTTGCAGCACTCTGAAAGCCCTTTTCTTGCCTTCCCTTCCAATCGTAACCTTCCAGGGTAATCATTATCTTAACTTCAAAACAGCATAGACTAGTTTTTCCTGTCTTGGAGCTTTATATAAATGAATCAGTGTGCAGCCTTTCTTGTTTGTCATCTTTTGTCCAACCTTTGGTTGGTGAGGTTCACCCATGTTACCACGTAGAGTCGCAGACTGTTGCTTCTCACTGGTATAGACTATTAAATTGTATCACTGTTCCATAATTTCTTTATTCTGTCTACTATTGATGCTGTCTGGGCAGTTTTCACCTCTCGGTTATTCTCAGTAACGCTGCAGTACATTTGGGTTCCTGTCTTTGGTGAAAACACACAGGCATTTCTGTTGGGTACATAATAACCTGGGAAGGCTTACTGGGTCATAAAGCTTTACAGATTCTGCCAAACGGTTTCCAAACCGGATATGCCAAGTTGCACTTGCTCCAGCAGTGTCCAAGAGCTCTGGTTGCTCCACTTCCCACCCCAACACCCGTTTTGTCTATTTTCTTCATCTTAGCCACTCTAGTGAGTGTGTAGTAGTAGGACATTGTGATTTTTATGTGCATTTCCCTAATGACTAATGAAGCTGGGTATCTTTTCGTATGTTTAATGACCATTTGGATATCCTCTTCTGCTATTTCTCTATTGGGTTCTCTTTTTAATAATCCATAGTTCTTTACATATTCTGAATATGAATCCTTTGTTGGAGTCATATGTGTATTGCAAGTACAGTGTGGCCTGCCTCTCTTAATGGTGTCTCTTAATGAAGATAAACCCTTAATTTTAATATAAATGAATATATTGGTTTTTTTCCTTTATGGTTAGTGTGGGGTGTTTGTTTTGTTTATCTCATTCTACTTAAGAAATCTTTTCTGCGGCACCTGGGTGGCTCAGCTGGTTAAGTGTCCAACTCTTGGTCTTGGCTCAGGTCTTGATCTCACGGTTTTGTTTTCAAACCCTGCACTGGGCTCCACGCCCAGTGTGGAGTCGAGTCAAAAAAAAAAAAAAAGAAAGAAAGAAAGAAATCTTTTCCTACTCTAAGGTTGTGAAGATGTTCTGCTACTTTTTTTTCTTAAAGTTTTATTTCACATTTCACACTTAGGTATGCCATCTCTCTGAAACTAAGTTTCGTGTGTCTGGTGTGAGGCAGAAGTTAAGATACTTTTTCATGGACATCCCAGCTGACTCATGCCATTTATTGAAAGACCACCCTCCCCCACTGCACTGCAGCATCACCCTTGTCATAAATCAGGTGACCATAAGTGTGGACCTGTTTCTAAAGTCTCTTATCCGGGGAGCTTTTAAAAATTGCTGATGACCTAGATCAATTAAGTGGAAACTTTTGGAATTGGGATCTAGACTTTTTTTTTTTTTTTAGAGTTCTCCAGGTATTACAATGTGTAGCTAAGGCTGAGAACCACTGGTCTAGGTTCTCAAATGACAATGGGATGGGAATGGAATATCACCAGCTCCCCATGCCAGAAGGGGACATTTGCTGGGGTGGGTGGGGGTAGGCAATGCTTCAAACTACCCTCCACCCCCAATTTGAGAATCTCTAGTTAGAGGAAGTCCTGCTGTTAAAGGGAGTATTCTACCCCTCCAGTGTGCTGGCTGGACTATGGGAACCTGCTGGTCTAGATCAGCGTTTCTGGATTCTGGCTGCCATTTAAAAGCTCATTTAGATGGGTGCCTGGGTGGCCCCGCTGGTTAAGTGTCTGCCTTCGGCTCAGGTCATGATCCCAATCTAGGGATTGAGCCCCACATCGAGCTCCCTGCTCAGCGGGAAGCCTGCTTCTCCCTCGCCCTCTGCCCCTCCCCACCACTCGTGCTCTCTCTCTCTCTCAAATAAATAGATAAAATTTTTAAAAATAAACAAAATAAAAGCTCATTTGGGAAGCTTTAAAAAAAAAAAAAAAGATATTGATGCCCAGATCTCACTCCAGACCACCTGAATCACAATCTCCAGGAATTTTTTTTTTTAAGCTCTTAGGTGATCTCAATGTGCAACAGTTGAGGACCACTGGTCTGGAACCTCTGAAGTACACAAAGAATCTAAATACACTCACCGTCAGGCCTTCATTATTCTTGCCCCCAAGCGTATACAGGCTGCCATCATTGGGATCTGGGAGGAAGGCAGGCCTAGAGGTTGAGCAGTAAGTATTAGTGATAAATTATAGCCCAGGGCACAGAACAAAATATCAAAGCCATGCAAAGTCATGATTGGGGGGAGGGGGGCATGTGTGTGTATAAGACAATTCCACCCACTGCTCTTTCACTTTTAGCCACAAATAAAATATCCCTATGGTGATAGGCTATATTTGAGCAGAAAAAAGCAACCTGCAAGAAAAAAAAAAAAAGTAAAAAACCATAGAAGAGTAAATCACCATTTGGTCAAAGCACTCTGGATGATGATAAGTAAGTAAAAAAGGACCCAGTAAGTCTACTTTTCAGTTTCTAAGTCAATTGTGTATAGAACTTCAACAATTAATATTTAATAGCATGGAACAGTACATAAACAGGTAGGACAAATCTACCTTTAGTGTTCAACAAACATTTATTTTTAAACTGGAGGCAATAAAAGCAGACTCTGAAAGCTTGACATCAGAGAAAACATGCCAAGGAGATGGCTGATGGTCTCCAGTCCATGGCTTCCTGTGAAGTAGATACGAGGTAGGCTTTGGTAAGGTTAACCTGGTGAAGTCTGAACTAGGAGCAGGAACTCAAAAACCCCTTGCTGAATCTTTTCTGTGCTTAGGATGTCCCATCATTTGAGCTCTTACAGGGGCCATAACACACTCTCTAGTAGCAGGTTATGTTCACGTTTCCTTTCATGGTACGACAGTGAAAAGGGAGAGATCTAAACCCTTTGGTAGGACTTTGGCAGCTTAAGCTCAAAACTCAACTTGAGTTTCATCTCAAGGAAGCCTCTTTAATATCACTGCCTCCCTCCCCCGAAGAACTGACCACACAACCCAGGTCATAGCACCTATAAGACTTGATGTCTCCATCATTCTTATTATACCTTAAGTGTATAAGAGCGTATGCATATATGCACTCCCAGCAGTTAGCCTCCTAAATATTGATTGAATAATTAAGAAAATGAATTTTTAAAAAAAGGAAAATGAATTAAAGGGAAGTACTGAACAAATCAGAACACTTACTCTTCCACATGTGTTGGAACCTGCAGAACCGGATCTGTGCAAAAGAACAACAAAGGCATCATCAGACAGACTCTAAAATATCAGGATTCCAAGAAGGTCCCCAGGACAGATTCACAAGTGGTATCAAAATCTTAAATTTACCAGAGAGTGTATATGAAGGCACTTTGGAAAACACACCCAGGGATGCCTGGGTGGCTCAGTCGGTTAAGCCTCTGCCTTCGGCTCAGGTCATGATCCCAGGATCCTGGGCTCCCTGCTCAGGGGGAGTTGGCCTCTCTCTGTCTCCCTCTGCTCCTACCTCCCTCTCGTACTTGCTCTCTCTCTCAAAATCTTAAAAAAAAAAAAAAAGACAACACACACCAAAGACACAGATTGTCACCAAGACTGGCTAGAGAACATAGCAGAATGGAACTGATGTCAAGAAACGTGCACACAGGGGCGCCTGGGTGGCTCAGTAGGTTGAGCACCTGACTTTTGATTTCAGCTGAGGTCATGATCTCAGTATCATGAGATCAAGCCCCATGTCAGGCTCCGTGCTCAGCGCAGAGTCTGCTTGAGGATTCTCTCTCTCCCTCTCCCCCACCACTCTAAAACAGATAAATAAATCTTAAAAAAAAAAAAAAGAAACATGCACGTAACTTGGGGAACGGACAGCGAAGGAAGAACCAGTCGCAACCCACAGTGGACAATGAGTCATAGTGTGTCGGACACATCAAGGACTTTTAAAACCGAAGCCATCACCTTGTCACAGATTCCTGGAGTGATACTAGGAACTCCCATTGGGAAAAACAAAACTGTGGCTTAAGAATAAATTTTCCTGTTGATGAGAATTTGGTTGGTGGTAAATGGATACACCCCACTGGGGCAGCATTATGGCGATCTGGGAGCCTCCGAGGGCTTGTTTGCCGTGATTCCCTTTGATCCATAAATTATTCCCTTTCTATAAAAATCGAGATTAAAAGTAATATGAAACATAGAAAATGCTTTGCGTACAAAGATGCTCACAGTAGCATTACAAATGACTTAACTATTCAATAATATGGTTAAATTAGGGAATGTCCACTTGGCAGAAAATTAAGGCTTCTAAAAGGGCTTATACACTTTTAAAAACATGTACAAATCTTTACATTGTGATGTTCAGGAGAAAAGATAACATTATACAGAGTATTAATGCAACTGAGGAGAAAATCTTCAATGCACATAGAAAAAAAATGATGGAAAGGCAAAAAAACATGCCAAGTTATTTTTATTGGAAGTGACTCCCCCACCTTTTCTGGAGTTCCCAAAATCTAAACAGGCATTACTGTTTAAATTGGGGGGAAAAGCATTTTCTCAAAGTTAATTTTATATTTTCAGTAGTCAAAACCAGGAGAATTTCTCCCTCCCCAGATCCTCCCAGGCTCGAAGCAAGAGGATGCTCCCGGTTCCCGGAGGCCGACGGCGGTGGCATCAGGGCGCACCGACACGACGCAGAGCGAAAATCCACAGGCGTAGGACAGCGCCGTCCTGAGGGGTTCCCAGCAACCAAAGCCCCGCGGGCCGCACAGCCCCAGCGTCCGCAACGTCAGAGCCGGGGCTGAGGATGGCAAATAGTGTCACAGGGTTTTGGATGCAGCGTGCCAGGCTCCACAGCTGGTCGTGACAGACGGCTGCCTGATTCCCCCGGTCGCCTGGGATTCTCAGATGAAGAGAACTCTTTCAAGCCTTATCATCTGTTGACTTTGCTCTGCAAGCCCAGCTCCTACGCAAAAGCATACACGGTGTTCACGGGGACAGAAGCGCACACAGCACACGTGGTCTGTGGGCAGCAAACAAACAATTCATTAAGCCGAAAACATTTTAGGAAACAGGAGGAACTTTCAGTTAGGAAGTGTTTAGCGTCCCCATTAGTCACCTCTCGGTACACTCTCACAAACAGACTGATGCAAGAGACAGGAAACAAGAGCGCGTGGCGTTCACCCACTGAAAGGGGCCGCGGCGCCATCACGGCCCAGCTCCCGCGACCTGGCCCGGACGGCGTGCAAGCCCGGAGGAGTGACAATGCCGCACGCAGTGTGAACAAAACACGGCAGTCAGAAGGCCCCTTTTTTTGTTCATCTCGGCTGCTCTGAGCTACCGCAGATAAACACAGCCGAAGAGGACGCTGCCGGATTCCCGCCCTTCCCTGGCAACAAGACACGGAGACCGACAGGATTTCCAGTCCTGGTCACAGGCTCATGTTTGCCGGACGGCGCTCGCGCCCGCTCAGACACCTGTCTGCAGGTGCAGGTTTCCCTGGTTTTCTAGAGCTCATCCACTGGTCACCTGACACTGAGGCCTGAAGTCCCAACATGTGTCCTGTACCCGACAGGTTCCCGGGAAGACAAAGGCCACTGGCAGGAGCCAGGGAACAACCCGTGGGACAGATATACGGGTGTGTAAGAACTGTGCTTCTAGAATTCTAGGCTTAGGAGGACAGGAACTCCAGGAGGAGGAGCTTCTGGTCATCTTAGCATTCCCATCCACTCACTATGATACAGGCCCTGGAATGAACATGTGCAGAGCTGGAAGCCATGTAACAGCACCACCATTAAGTCAGCTCCCACGGGTGAGCAAAGTGCTGCTTGGCTTCTGAGGAGGAGCGGTGACCTATACCCTAGATTTTTGTTTTCTTAAACAATCATTTGCATCTGTGATCTGCTTTAAAATACTATAGAAAAAAGGGGCGCCTGGGTGGCTCAGTGGGTTAAAACGCGTCCAACTCTTGATTTCAGCCTGGGTCTTGATCTCGGGGTGGTGGGATCGAGCCCTGCGCTCAGTGCAGAATCTGCTTGTCCCTCTCCCTCTACCTGCATGCACGTGCGCTCGCTCTCTCTCTCAAACCAAATCTTTAAAATACTACAAGAAGGGCAGATAAAACGAAAAATAGCAGCCAACTGATAACTGTTAAAGATGAATGTGGCAACACTGGGGAGTTATTTTGCTATTCCCTCTACATATGCTTGAAATTTTCCATAACATAAAAGATTAGAGATAAAAAAATATTTGGAAAGCCAGCAAAATAAAAGTAAACAGCATCATCTGAAAAATGTGCAGTGAAAGCCCAACATGGAAAAGTGCTTGTTTTTATTTAATAATAAGAACTGGTATCAGGCAAGATTCTTGCTTAAAAAAAAAAAAAAATTCAGCCATGTGAGAAGAAACCTGGCCTACGTATAAGGCTATAAACAAACACTGCTACAAAACAAGCCACTCTATCTATATGGAGACTGATAAGGATAAAAGCCATCTCACAAAGCTGTTTCACTTTCAGAAGGGAAAAAAGGGGTGGGGGCGGAGGGGGGCTTGCTTTGCAAGTATGAAAACGGGTTAATCAAGGTAAAGGCAAGGCTATCAGAGGAGGAACTGACAGGGGCAGACACAAACCTGCTCACTGCTCCCCAGAGAGCAGCCCCCGGACTGGACCCGATTCCCCTAACAGGTCCAGCTGAGGCTTGAAACGGCATAATCTTTACCCCCAGAGACACCCGGATGACGTTGTGTGACCGGACTGCCACTGTTGTGCTCATCGAAGCCTCTTTCTTAACCAGGGACAGAAATGCCTCCAAACAGATGGTCACATCCTTCCTTTGCCCAAGTTCACAAGGGTGAAAATTTAAACATTTTTATTTCCACAAGACATGAATTTTCGTCTTTCCACGAATACCTGTTGCACCTTCATTCTCCATCCCATCCTCTCTGGAACCTCATGCCCTCTCCTTCTGTGCTGGGCCACACGTGGACTCTTGACTTTGCTCCGTCCTGAGCTATGGGTCTTCATGGCTCCATCTAGCAGCACCAACAGCCCTACCCTTTCGGCTGCCTCTCCACCACTCTGGTGAGCCCATGTACCTGCTGCTCTGACCACCCACTAGGAGGCGGCCCCTCCACTGCCACTTCCCGTTCCATGGCTCACCCTGCCCCTTGAGTCTCTCACCTCTTGGCCTCTGTGGCCCTGCACGGCCTGATTTCTGCTCCCTCCCTCCCTACTCCCACAGGAAGGGACATTTCCAGGTCCTCCCTTGAGTCCTCTCAGAGAGCACACCCATCCCTGAAGCTTCAACCACAACCACGATGGGAGATTCCAGGTCCCCATCATTTTCTGAGCTCTTCTTTCTGGATCAACCAGACATTTCCACTATTTCCTACCAGCACCTCAGCCACCACCCACCCAAAGTCATGCCCTCCATCTTTTAACTCAAACCTACTTCTACTATCGACACCCTATTTTATTAACAGTACCACTATTCTCTTAGAAGACGGGCAAGCTCCAAATGATGCTGTTGACACTCATTTCTCCCCAACACATCTTGTCAGCTGCCAAACTCTAGGGTTTGTTTCCTACACCCAGTATCCCTCCATCATCAGAACCCCTTCCCTTTTAAGGGCTCCTTTTTCTCTGGTCTATGTGGCCTTTGGAATCAGATGAGTCTATGCTTAAGTCCTAACTCTGCCAAATTACCTAATCTCTCTGGGCCTGAATTTCCTCATTAATAAAGAAAGAAAAAAAAATAGATAATAACACCAACCTCATGAGGCATCTCTATGTGGATTAAATAAGGACTAAATGTTTGTCAAGACTTGAAGTCTGTGCCTTGACACAGAGAATGGTGATCCTTTTAAGGGCAGAAGTCAGATTATTCTTCTCTACCACTCAAAATCTTTTGGTGGTTCCCATCTCAATCATAAAGGCCAGTGGTCACACAGTAGCTTACAAATCCCACACAATCCCACCCTCCCACCCTCTAATGCTCTCCCACTATTTCCTCCTTGCTTATTCTAGCCAAGCTGGCCTCTTCGTATTCCTCAAATATGGTCTAGCTTGCCCCTGCCTCAGGGCCTTTACATCTGCTGCCCCCTCTGCCCACACCTTTGATCAAATATCACTATCTCACAGAGGTCTTCCATGAGCAACTCCTACCGCCCAGAGATTCCCTACCCCTCTTCACTATTTGATTTTTCTCCACGACACTTACCACCTCTGAAGTACAGTATATTTTACTTATTTAAAAAAAAAAAAAATGACTCTAGCCACTGTTAACTACATGAGGGCTGGGATTTATCTTTTGTTGTCTGCCATATCCCCAACACCTAAAACAGTGCCTGGCGCAGAGGAGTGCTCAATACATTGATTGAATGGAGCAATCAATTCCTGTTAGTCTCCTTCCTACATCTATTCCTGCCCAGTCTGGACACCCATCATTAATTAC